CTTAATAATCGATTAGTATTTTTTTTTTTCTATATAAACAGTGAAATACGAAATAATATACAGGGTGTCCGAAAAGTCTGGAACCATAGGCACTTCAATGAATTTTACAGAATGTGTTCCACACGCTATACTTCTAATTCGAAACAAGTTTGGATTAACATGAGGATTAACTCGACCTTCTCACGCTTTGATTGTTTTTGTTTGTTTGTTTTTTAATTTCGCGCAAAGCTACACTAGGGCTATGTGCGCTAGCCGTCCCTAATTTAGCAGTGTAAGACTAGAGGGAAGGCAGCTAGTCATCACCACTCACCGCCAACTCTTGGGCTACTATTTTACCAACGAATAGTGAGATTGAGCGTCACATTATAACGCCCCCACGGCTGAAAGAACGGTTGGTGTGACAGGGATTCGAACCCGCGACCCTCAGATTGCGAGTCGAGTGCCTTAACCACCTGGCCATGCCGGGCCTCTCATGCTTTGACAGCGCCATCATAATCAGTCACGTATCTAAAATTAAGAAAGGTTCCAAATCACCTATGGTTCCAGACTTTTCGGACATCCTGTATGAACTCTCCATTAAAAGGAATCTTTATGATATATATTGCTCTGATTCTAAGTTACACCCACTAATTTGGTAAAACTGCTTATTAGCTCTAGGAATAGTAGTTAATTAGAATTTAATTATTAATTGTAGGAGGCCTGAATGATTATCTTCCAGTAGCTGGTCATTCGCTATCTTGGACTAATGAGAAACAAACCACTCAGAATGGAAGTGTAAAAATAGCTAAAGTGTGGACACCAGAGGACCCTCGACAAAGAAATTCCAGCGACGAAGATTCTGAACATCTATTGGTTTAGACCAGTGACAGAGACTGCGTTAAAACGAGGCTGTATATTTTTTAATATTTTTTAATTCACGTACAAACCACCAGGTATACATAATCCAGTGACAAATTATTAGTCGCATATGCAAGTAACGCTTTTCTCAATGACTTTGTGCCTGTAAAATTTCAAAGATTACAACTAATAAAATACGAAAAATTCCGCGTTACGACCTAAAAACTTGAAGATTAACCTCGTGTAAATAGAAATACTATCTTGTAGCATTTTCTTTATATCTGACTATTCTAGATTAATTTGAGGGGGGGGGGATTTTTTGGCTTCAACTACTTTTTATGCGAGATATTTTTCTTATGAAATATCATTAGTCCCACAACCTACAATGTTTCGTGATGGATACTTTCAAGTAGTTGTTACTGTTATCTCCTGAGCGAACATTTTGGCTCTGGTAAAATCGTTGATTAATATGATTATTGGACGTAAAAAAAGGAGAATGAAACAATAAAATTCTCCCAAAATATATATGTATATATACCCTTTAGCAAAGACTGAATAGTATAATCTTAGTGTAATTTTCCACTACAGACTGAATGGTATAATCTTAGTGTAATTTTCCACTTAGATGCGACAAAAACGGTGTTCATGTAATGATACAAAAATAACGTTCGATTTATACTCTAGTAAAATAAAAGACAAGTGACCATGTAGCTCAAACTTTTGTCCGACGAAGAAAATATTATAAGGTTCGAGTATATAATTATTCTTAATAAATTATTCACCACAACCCTGCTAAATTATCACAGTATACCCGTGTTTTAGAATATGCGACATCTTTATAACGTTATTTAAAATAATATTTAGGTTGTGGTATATACAACAGTGGCATGGATGATGTTATCCACCACTTGTTGAACCCTTGTTTAAGTCTTTAATGTAGGCAAAGTGAAAATTAAAAACAAGGCATTTTAATTATTTATTTTATTTCACTCCTAGTGGCCAGATACTCTAAAATTGTATGTAAAATACGACCAATATATTAAGGCATTAACTTATTTCGTTATTAAACTTAACTTACTAACATATCCTGTGGTCTAATATTTTTTTTATTAAACTCAGTGCTAGGAACAAACGAAATATTTAATCTTATTCCTCGTAGCATTAAAAAACTTTACTTCGCCAAACACAAAGTGTTTTGTCCTTTAATACTTTTAAAATTTCACTAACTAAAAACTTAGATCCATCATGTAACTGAATCCCACCGATGTGTTAAATTGTAACGCACATACTCAGTCTAGAGGGAAGACATTCTTACAGTCAGTGTGTTAAAATATCAACAGTTCGAAACGATGTTTTTAGAAATTTAAGCATCAAGCGAAATATTGTATTCAACTCGGTTAAGCAGAACTGTTCGTATTGTTAAGCCACAAATTGTTGTTCAAGACCTTATATAAATTTATAATACTCACTGGATTGAACAAGATCAAGCAAAGAAAAAAAGGAACATCAGAATAATGGTGTATCGTAGAAATAATCCCGATTTTAAAGTACTTTATTAAAAAACCAGAATACGCTTATTTCACTTTTGTATTTATGTCGGTCAGTAAAAATGTACCAGCATTAAAACTATATTGAGATTCAGAATATACAGTTTGCTAATTTATTACTGGCAGGGATTTAGAAATATTTCGAAAAAACTTCTTTATAATTTTTTGCAATTTAGAAAGAGCTATTGGTCTTTGTAATTTCAAGCTCTTTTGCTACTAATATATGAACTGGTTTCACTTTTAAATAATTTCCTTAACTTTCCGGGAATATTAACATTTTCATGTTCTTGAAAGAACTATTGATTTTGCTCAGATTTGTGATGTTATCTAGTCAGTTTGTAAAGAAGGAAATATGTTAATATGATTGTAATTAGATATATGATTTATGTATACGAAATATGTTACACAAAAAAGGCATTTCCGTTACAATTAGTTAATGTTAATCACTTAATGTTCTAAGTGCTCATCAAGTAATTAAAAAAAAAGAACAACCTAAGGAGGGGAGGTATTTCAGTAAACTGAATTACAAAATCAAACGTCAGTATGCTCTCAACTATTAAATAATTATTCAGGTTTTTGATTTTAATAATTTAATTTAATTTGACCGTCGTTCTCTCGTTTGTGATTATTAAACTGTGATTTCCGGCACATGAATTAATTTAATTTTAATAAAGTTACAGGATAATGTTGATGCTAAATGTATTTAATACTTTAGTCTAATTTTTGGATTATCCCTCCAGAAGTGATATATTAAAACAATTTTATATTATCTCTGATCTGATGTAGTTGGTAATTTCGTCCAGCTTATATAGTACTGCTTGATCTAATATATATGATCAGTAATATATTAAAACAACCTAATGTTACCTCTGATCTGATGTGGTTGGTAATTTCTTCCAGCTTATATAGTATTGCTAGACCTAATATATGTGATCAGTAATATATTAAAGCAACTTTATGTTATATCTGATTTGATGTGGTTGGTCATTTCTTCCAGCTTATGTAGTACTGCTAGATCTGATATATATGATCAATAATATATTGAAGCAACTTTATGTTATCTCTCATCTGATATGGTTGGTAATTTCCTCCAGTTTATACAGTACTGCTAGATCTGATAAGCAAATGATTTATTTCCTCTAAGAATCGTCACATCACAGCATAAAAACTAATTTTATGAAATCTACTTATAGTACAATAGGATAAATAAAAAAGTTAATTTTAGACACGTTTTATGAACTCTTAACTTCCAAAACCACCCACTGTCTATGGCCAATAACGAACAGTGCGGAAGCCCCATAACTGAACACTCCGAACATTGTAGAATGTTTAATTACGCCTCACTAACCATAGCTACCTAAAGGTAAGTATTCATTTGAAATAAATCTCACGACATACAAAAGTTAAAAACTGCACGACGAGCTTATTCGTTTTTGTAAACAGTGTTTGTTTGTTTTT